ATGAAGAGTTGAGCACATGAAAAATTTGCATCACTAAGAGTTGAATTGTTTATATAGTGATAGATATGCAACTTCAAGAACTTAAACACTCGTTTCACTAAGGTTAGTACTGAGCTGCTTCTTTGTATGACATGTTTAGATCCAAGTATTTCATTCTCTGCTTTTGACAAGTATAAGTTGATCTGTTTGCCAGTTTATCCAACTGATTTTCTGCACATTGAGTTGATGGTACTTGAGAACCATACTTAGGATTATGTTATTGACAGACGTCCTTGTGATGAATTTTGCAAAGTTAGAAGGAATTAGTGATTTGGCTAAGATTTAGTTTAGTTTAAAAAGGACATTTTGTACCATTGATGTATAAGCTTGTGAAACTTGCATTGGTGTTTACTAGCTCCGACTGCGATCGTTGAAAGGACTTTTTCTGCAATGAATCTTGTGAAACGTTGGTTACGCAATCGAATAGAAAATCAATGGATGAATGATTGCTTAGTCACCATATTGAGAATAATGTATTTGATACAGTTGATGATGAGATAATTATCCAATGTTCAGAGATATGAAAAACTCGTCGAGGACAATTGTAGAAAAATTGTTTATTTTTACAAAAATTGTGTTTTTTAAAGATATTATTTGTATTTTGTAACTTTTTGTTGCTCATCATAATGAAAAAAAAAAAAAAGTATGAATATGATGGTTTTAATTTTTTTTGGTTTATTTTTTGCCCCCATCAAGTGAAATTCCTGGATCCGCCACGCTTTAAATCCATAACGCGTCCGGTTCTTCCACCTTGTCCGAGCTTATTTTCTATTGAAAATCCGTTGGTAGATGCCTCGATATCAGCCAATGTGTATTCTATCAGATTAGGAACATTGCTATTAAAATCTCCAGTTGCTACTGCTCTATTTACTTTACTCATTTGTTGTTTACTGGATTCTAACATCCCTGCTAACCACGGGATGAAATATGCGTGTAATGCAAAGGACATAAAAGATTTTTAAAATGGTTCGACAAGTTATAACTTGAGCCTACATCCACTATTATGTTATTGTTTTTGGGTGATTACAAGAACAATATAATATGCCTTGAATAATTTGCTAATCCCGAAAAAGAAAAGAGAGAGAATATCGGGATTGCAATCAAATTCAAATTGCAACCCCAATATTTTTGTGATTGGGCTCTAAGATCGTGCTACCAATGGTGTTACTCTTATCCCTTCCGAAATATCCGATATTTAAGCTTATCCCTAGTTTGTCGAACAACTACAAAGGCTCGTTGCGACTAGCTTGTGATGGGTCGAGCTATCCCTCTCGACAAGCTTACATTTGGTCGTCAGACCAAAATCTGGTCAAAAAATTGTTTTACGACCCAGACTAGTCTGATCTGTGTCGTAACACGTTGATATGACTTTTTTCGGCCAGATCCATCACAGATCTGACCGGAAAAGGTCAGATCTATGGCCTGATGTGGTCGTCGACGACCAAAAAAGGCCAAAGAAGTCCATCTTCCATCTTTGGCCGTCGTTTTCAGTCAATGATGGCCAAGATTCTTTGTGATGGCTAGATTGGTGAACTACCGGCAAGTTCTAGTCGTGATGTAGGCTGTTGTATAGATTCCGACTGCCACCGATGGTTGATGGGGGTGTTTTTGTTTATTTTTAAACTTTTTTCTGAGGGTATTTAGTAAAATTAATAAACTTAAGGAGTCTGAAAGTAATTAAAAATATAATCATATTTCTAGAATAATGTACGAAACAATATTTGAAGAATAGGATTGAGAATATGGATAGAAATAAGAAGCCAAAAGCACCCAGTACTTTTAGTTTTATATTTTCAATAAAATAGTCACGTGGACTCCTCAATCCATATATGCCAACTGTTAGCCGGGATTCCTCATGTAATGTTTGGGTTGTATGTGACATTAACCGCGTGATCCTGCAATCATGGACCCTTTTTTCAACCTTGTGGACTCCACCTTGATGTTACAATACATCTGACTAAATTTTCAGCTTTGCAGATCATTTGGTGGAGATTACTTTTGAGTTGCAAGGAAATTTATTAGAAAGGGAATAGGTTACGTCCCCTTCTATCAGCTGCTTGTCTTCTACATTGCAAGAAGGTTTTCAACCACCAGCAACTTTTTCTTCAGATCTTTGAGCTCTGAATCAGTGAATCTACCCCCTCACTAGTGTTAGAATTGGTGACCACTTCAACAATAAAGGGTTCGTCTATAAGATGCGGCGTACACAATGATTCTCTTCAATTATTTTGGTAGTGATAGTATAGAAATTATAAATAGACTCTAGTTTATGAATATTAAGAAATATTGGAAATATCAAAAACTACATCCAAATTCAAAGAGAAAATTTGGTGCAAGGATATGTATGCATAGCTCATCGAGACAGCTTATAATATCAGCATATATGGCATAAGCACTAAGTAATTGCTTCATCAATTAGAAGATATTTGTAAGAGTGGAAGAGCACGCAACAAATAAACGATAAATAAATTAAGAATATTTCGTCAATTTATGTATTTTCCTTGAGTAATAAAATACCCTATAGTGTGCCTTGAAGAGTGGATGTAGGCTACCTTAGCCGAACCACTATAAATCCCCTGTGTCAATTGTTTTTCTGTTATTTCATGGTTTTCTTAATCTCTTATTTGATTGCTTGTTGATTGATAAGATCGTGTTAGCTCATTGATTGATTTGATAAGCATAACTGAAAGCCCTAATTAGTCACTACATTAACAATTGTGTATTATTTTAGAGTATCAAAATTTGAATGTAGATTTGGTTTTAAATATAGAGTCAAGATGGTTATGGTAACTCAGTCAATTCATGCAGGTACAATTAATTTGGAAATTATAAATATTTACAGGAGCTGAAGAGTTGAAAAACAAAACAAAATAACCATTGATGGAGAAATTTTACAATGACTGTTGATTGTTGAGGGCTCCTGATTTTACATATTCGAACTAGAAGAGACTACGGACTAGATAGGGTCCCGGCCAAGGGAAGGGGGAGTGAAAAAGGAGGAGAAAAAGAGAGGAGGAGAAGAAAGAACGGTGAAAAAATAATCACAGATCATAGAAACTTAAGGCACGTGACATCTGATTAATTAATTAATCAGAATTAATAAAATATTATAGGCTAAGCAGAGGCATGTGACATCCATTATATAATATAATAAAATTTGAATTTTAACAACTCATCAAAATTTTAATACTTGTAAACTTCAATATTTAAGGGTGCGTTTGGTTTATTATTTTTGATATGATTTTGGGAATAGTATTGGGTTGTTGGATAGGGGAGTATTACGAGGTAAACTTTAAAAATTTATGAAAAAACTCTTAGGTTTACTAATTTAATTAAAGACCCTAATATATAAAATGACAAAAATACCCCCACCACCTGCAGTGCCAAATTCCGGTAACCACCGTCGGAATCTGGTCAAAAAATTGCTTTACGACACAGACTAGTCGGATCTGTGTCGTAACGCATTGATATGGCTTTTTCCGGCCAGATCCATCACAGATCTGGTCAAAAAATGCCAGATCTACGGCCTGATGTGGTCATCGACGACCGAAAAAAGTCAAAGAAGTCCATCTTCCATCTTTGGCCGTCGTTTTCAGTCAAGGATGGCCAAGATTTAGTCGTCGTTGACTGTCAACGACGACCATTTCTTTGTGATGGCCAGATCGATAAACTACCGGAAAGTTCTAGTCGTGGTGTAGGTTGTTGTATAGATTCTGACTGTCACCGATGGTTGATGAGGGTGTTTTTGTTTATTTTTAAACTTTTTTCTGATGGTATTTAGTAAAATTAATAAACTTAAGGAGTTTAAAAGTAATTAAAAATATAATCATATTTCTAGAATAATGTGTAAAATAATATTTGAAAAATAGGATTAAGAATATGGATACAAATAAGGAGCCAAAAGCACCCAGTACTTTTAGTTTTATATTTTCAATAAAAGAGTCACGTGGACTCCACAATCCATATATGCCAACTGTTAGCCGGGATTCCTCGTGTAATGTTTGGGTTGTATGTGAAATTAACCACGTGATCCTGCAATCATGGACCCTTTTTTCAACCTTGTGGACTCCACCTTGATGTTACAATACATCTGACTAAATTTTCAGCTTTGCAGATCATTTGGTGGAGATTACTTTTGAGTTGCAAGGAAATTTATTAGAAAGGGAATAGGTTACGTCCCCTTCTATCAGCTGCTTGTCTTCTGCATTGCGAGAAGGTTTTCAACCACCAGCAACTNGTAAACTCATGATGAATGTTTCAATAAATATGATTGTTTCAATAAATATGATTGTTTCTTTTATGTTTATTATGAACTAATTCTCTTTTCTAGCGCTAAGATGTAACCCAATTTATGAATATGTATTGACTTAAATTGTTGTTAATTCCTATTGAGCTTTTAATTCTAAGTTTTATTATTGTGCATAATGCTTTCAATTCTTAAGGATCCGAGAATTGAATGATATCATGGGTTGGGTTGAGATCGAGAGATGAAACCTGATTTGTCTAAGGTAATAAAACCATAGATTGAGCGAACGCTAGAGATAGGTGACCGCGATCTGTGAGGCTCTGGTAAATTCTATAGAACTTAATGATCTCTTAACTCCTAAATCCAACTTAGAGATATTTTGGGTTGTTGCTCAAGGGTTAATTTGCTAATTGTTCGAGAGAAAGTTAGTAGAATTTTAGGGAATTTGGCTTTTAGAATATGCCTAATTAGGTTAGCAATAATTGTCAATCCATAAGATTAAATTGGTGTGAAATCTATGCCCTAGGTTTAGTTATATTGATCTTGACTTCAAAGTGTTTACAAATTCTGCATTTGTTTAGTTTCTAGTTTATTACTTTTTCATTAAAGTCATTCTTAAAATTCTATTTTATTAAATAGCAATAGAATAGACTAGTTTGGTACTTGGTAGGTAGTTCCCTTGGGATTCGACACTCGTTTACTTGAGCTTTATTACTTGCACGATTTCGTATACTTGCGAAAAGTCTGTTAGTATTTAGTTCCTTCAGGCAAACATTTTTTAGATATTTGGTTTGGTCACAATAAGGAGGAACATGAATAGTGCATCCGGTCAGATTTTTGAAGCCAGCCTCCCAAAATTCAGTCTCTCTGCCTATGGCTGTGTAAAACCACAAGGCTCCAAACATCTAAAATACCAGAAATTGAATCAAATCAACAGTTGATTGAACATAAATCAGAGAAAAGATAATAAAGTAATTGAACTTACATGACTTGCATACATATAACTTAACATGAAAACAACAGCCCATTCACTAAAGGTGCCTAAAGTCCTCCTCTCTGTAAGTAATGAGGGGCATGTTTGGCTTATTATTTCTGCCCATATTCCTAATCCTATTCTCCAAATAATGTTTGACACATTATTCCAGAAATATTACCATATTTTTTTAATTACTTTTAGACCCCATAAGGTTATTAATTTCATTAAATACCCCATGAAAAAAAAGTTTAAAAATTAGCAAAAACACCCCCGCGACCCATACTTGCCAGATTCCGGCAACCACCGTCGGTGGTAGCTGAAATCTGTACAACGGCCTACCTGCCGACCAGAAATGGCCGAAAGTTCACCGATCTGGCCGTAACGACGGCCAAAGAAATGGCTGTCGTTGACCGTCAACGACGGCCATTTCTTTGGCCGTCGTTATAGCCAGATCCATCTAGCCGGAAAATGCCATAACAACACGTTACGACACAGATCCGACTGGTCTGTGTCGTAACGCGATTTTTCGGCCAGAATTTGGCACTGCAGGTGGTGGGGGTGTTTTTGTCATTTTATACATTAGGGTGTTTAATTAAATTAGCAAACCTAGGGGTTTTTTCATAGATTTTTAAATTTTACCTCGTAATACTCCCCTATCCAACCACCTAATATTATTCCTAAAATCCTATCCAAAATAATAAACCAAACGCACCCATAAAGATTACACTCAACCATCACTTACATGATGAATAACGCAAAGTCTTTGGATTTCGATTTGCGAAATTGTTCTTCAAATACTGGACCATTCAGTAAGTATATAAAGATTGATTGGAGGATGCTGAGTCAATATATATATGAAGCCTAGACGGAAGCAAAAATTAAAGTCGAAAACTGTCTTTATCTTTTCACTACACTATATGCAATTAAATAGATGCTAAATTAGTTGGTTTATTTGTTATTTGAGCTAGAAGAAACGGAAATTTTAGGAAGAAGTACAGTATAAAGGAAAAGTAAAGAAATGTTGTATGTTTAGTCGAAGTCTCTGTATAATAAAGGGTACAACTCAGCATATGAGAACTTTAATTTGATAAACTAATGCTTTTTGTAGCACCTCTTCAGAAGATTGTTGGAATTTATTCTTTATTGCATGAGTGGGGCAAAAGGAATAACTGTTTGTTTCTTTCTCTTATTACTTTTCGATCTTTATTATTATTATAATCAGTTCAATTATGATTAAAGCAAGAATAAAGTGATTGTATAATAATTGCTTAGACTCTAGATTTTTACAGCAAAAAGAACTGGGTAGACGGGCCATTTTTAAAACAAAAAGTAAAAAATGTGATATCTCAAACCATTTTTCCTTGTTATCTAAGCAAATGGAAATGTTCGAAAACTTGTGGGATTTATTATGTTATGAAAACAATAATAATAACNAGTTGATTGAACATAAATCAGAGAAAACATAATAAGTAATTGAACTTACATGACTTGCATACATATAACTTAACATGAAAACAGCAGCCCATTCACTAAAGGTGCCTGAAGTCCTCCTCTCTGTAAGTAATGTGGCCACTCGGATTGACCTTAGCGCATGTTGAACAATTAGGACGTATAGGGCATTCCAGATACACTTCTTTCTCGTGCTTTGAAACATAGACAAAATCACAATCATCTGAAAAGTTTTGATGCTCGCAAAAGAAAAAGAGTTACTTGATAATTTGCCTTACTTTATAGAGAAATCAGAAATGGAAACAAATTAGAATTAGCTGTAAAAGAAATTGCCAAACCTGTGGAAGAGGGAAAATGGCCACAAGGTCCATGAAGAAACGTATCCTCGCAGTTTTATATAAATTAATCAGTCCCGAAGTTGACGTGTAATGGAATATATAAAATAAATCAAAGACCGAACGGAGGAGGGTGGCAGCAATCCCCCAACTTTTCTCCACGCTAATGCACCTTTTCTCATCATTGATCACACGAGTGTAGAAGAACATAGGATCCAAAAATGCTGCAGTCATACATAATATAAGAGCAATCTCATTAGCACAAGGCCCCTGAGGATCAATGATTAACTTCGCATAAAACAAGCTTTTCTTCACAATGCTACAACAAGATTTTGGAAGTTCTTCGGTGCTTTTATGTTTGAGTAATTCCCTTTTGTTAAGTTTCCTTGCTGTACCTTCCTCTAAAGCAAGAGACCTGATCAAATTCATACTTACAATTGAGAAGTATCCACTACAATTTAGAGGATGAAGCAAATTATTATGAAAATTATACTTACATGATTAATGATGTCAAGGTTCCGAGAAGAAGAAGCAAGCTTTGAATTATATTTCTGCGGATTCCTTCAATCAGAGAATCTTCACAGATGATCACTGAAATGGGATATGATTTCTATCAAGTTCATTGGAAATATGATTAAACTATTAAAGAAAAGTCTCAGCAAGATGGCATTAACGAATAACTAATTAGCTGCTCTGTTGATTTATGATTTAAAATATATGTACGTAAAATATTGCCCCAATTTGGTTGGAGCATAGCATCAAAAGACTTTGATATTATATTCTTCCAAAAATGGAATATAAATAATAATTGTTCGAATTTTAATATTCCTTCCAGCTGAGGCATATCCAGCAGAGTGTAGAAAAAAGAGAAAAGTATGGTTAGTGGCCCGACTGTAATGGTTGTTCCAGAAGTAGCTGAAAGAATAATATTTTATGCAAAAAAGGCGTATAAGATTTGCATGTCCCACTTAAAACAATATAAAAGCGATTCGGCGAGAGTTGCCATTTAATCATTGGGAGAGTGTCCACATTCAGCAAAGAAATATTTGATCCAATGAGACTGTATTCACACACATACTAATTGATTTTTTCCTCCAAATTGGAGCATGCAATGACTTTGATTTCTTTAGTTAACTAGAAATATATGTTAATTATTTGTTCATATTTTAATATTCCATCTAGTTCAAGAATTATTGTAGTAAAACTTAGTCTAAATTGCCAGAGAAGTATAATATAAAGGAAATAATAACAGCTCTTACTAATTTCTTAAATAACTAAAGTATCTAACCTCAAATATCGAATCTTTAAAAACAAAGCAAGCATAAAACTCTTTAATTATGTCTTTATAACTTTATCTGGGTTATCCATAGGGGTGAGCAAGTCCAAGTACCCGCTTAAAATCAAAGGAACTGGAGTCAGACGGTTCCTTAGATTTGGAACCGGAACCAGAACTAGAACCAAAACCAGCCGGTTCCGGTTCTAGTTCCTAGAAATTTGGAATTGGAACCTGAAATATAAGTTTTGATTTCGGGTACCTGGGATAATTTAATTACCCCTACTTTTTTAAAAAGACAAATAACCCTCTAAAAATTCTCATACACGCCTAATAGTTTGCAAAAATTACAAATACACCTCAAATGTATCCTATGGCATGTAACTTAGTGGAAAAGACAATGGCAGCGTTTGTTTATGTACAATTATTATTATTTTTTGAATCGTGAGCATTATTTCCTGTGATATGGAGGTCATTAATTATTCCGGTCAATTACCCTACCCAGGTTTCTTTCAATGGATTTATAGTAAATTCAAAATCTACAAGTTCATGTGCAAAACCATGTAAAATATTATCTTTGGAGGAGTTTTTTGTTGTTTGAAGAAATTTAATTTTATTTGTAACGCTCGAGTGGAGCTCTCAAGCACTACTGTAGCCGCTAGAGTGAAAAGTACGAAAGTATGGAGTAAAAGAGGAAAAAAAAAAAAAATGGATGAAAGGACATATAAACTAAACCAATTAAGAATGGGTCAATTTGTAATATACACGAAAAAATGTCCTTCAGTGATTTCCCCTGATTTTACATGTATCGGTCTAGCCCAAGTTTTTGACCACCATAGTCCATAGCCATAGGACTTATTAATATGCAGGTCATATACATATTAGAAATCTTTGTTTTTACTATTAGAGTTCTTGAGTTAGTATCACAAATTAATTTAATATTAATTTCCATTTAAATTAATAAGATTTCTGCCTGATAATAATATTATGCCATAAAACTCTTTCCAAGAAACGATGAGGAAATACAGAGCATTTAATATTCTTCAAAAAAATAAGAGGAAATTAAGTTCCTGAATGGGGTTCACAGCACAGCAGATATAGGTAGAAAATCTTAAATAGTTAAAAAAACCATTAATTATAAATAAAATTAAAATAATAGAGCGACGAGATTGTGATGATAATTGATAGGCCACGCTATGTAAAGCTATATGATTAATCCAACCCAGAAAGATCGAAATATTCTAGCAAAAGAAATGAGAATTCTACAACTCAATAAATAAAAAAAAGGCCCTGACATGAATCTTTACGATTGGTATTTACCTATCTACAACTATCTATATGTTCATGTTCTTCAAAAATGGTATTATGAACCACTCCGCGGCTGAGACTGTGTTGGTGGTATTCGGTATTCCCTCTTAGGACCTCAGGTAGATGTTTGTAGTTCTTCCTATAACGCAAGACCCTTCTAACACCAAAACGATTGTATGAAAGATTATTGTATCCTCAAGGACAACAATCCCTTCAAAGAAGTCGCGAGTTGTGTGTTTTACGGGCATTGGGGCTCACAGAGTAACACTGTAACCTCCGTCGGGGTATTTTCCTAGACAAGCCTGGCCTGGTGATTTTTCCGACGCAAAAGAGAAATTGTAATTTGGGATGCAGAGTTTGTGTTTTACTACACAGATCGGTATATGTATAGTCATATACATCAGCTCACCAAAATTTTATATGAAAAATGCCAGCACTATATAAACATATCATATCATACACGCTAAATAAACATATTTTGTCTCCATTACTAGATATCTATCCACTTTTGTGTTTAAAAAAACATATTACTGGTCAGATAAGAATTTTATCAAACATTTTGTAAGCAATTCCCTAAGTACTTATTTGAGGACTTAATGAACAAAACTATACAAAGGCAACAAAGACAAGTCACTCAAATAAACAATTTGCTGTAACCTCTAGAATACCAGTTGAGGAGCATCACCGAATATTCCGCAAACATAGAACGTTTTATTTAGTGTCTTCGATGTGCAAAAATCTTTTAGAAATATGTAGTTTGCTGATCTTTCACACATTAACCCTGTAAAGGTTAAAAGCCAGGAATATAATCATAATTCCTGGCTAATTTATTGTTCCTGAAATAATCTCAGACCCTCTTTGCTCCAAATTGTTCCTGACTAATATATCTTTCAAGTCGTCCGCTATAAGAACAAAGGCTTCCACGTTTGTAAGGCAACAGTTCTGGTTGAGATTGGGAGGTTGGCGTGGGAGGATGACCCCGAGCCCAAGAAACAAGCTCATTTCCAAAGTAGTCACCATCTTTAGATGATAATTTTCACTTTCGAAATGATTCATGGAAGTATAGGTCCATAATTTTCCCTGTAGCACGAAGAAACATCTCACATTGGGTCTCCTCCCTCACAATCCGAGTGCGCTCAATAAGAAAACTGGCTTCACACGACCACAGAGATGCCACAATGTTGGCTCACTCCAATTTCCAAACTTCTACCTTCACATTCAAGAAAAGATAAGAATAATCAAGAATATGTAAAGTACATCAATTCTAAGCGGAAGGAACGCACTTCTTGAGAATTCTAAGCAAAGTTCTTGTTTTATCATCTGTATGAGGTCGTCAGGAAGAATATCGAGCAAATTTTTAGATTAACACCTATGGTTTCCTGCCAAGCATATTGCCGAAAGTACTCTTCCACCTGCCGTCGGAGATTATTGATAGCTTTTGGAAGGGCTTCCATTGTTTATATCTTTCAACTTCCGTTTCATCTCCTCTTGTCTTATAGTCTCGACTGTAAATATACCTGTTTCGGAAAATGCACTACAGAGATTGAAATTCACAGTGCTTCATTCCATTGAAATTAACAGACGAATAAAAAAATACCAACCTGCATCCTTGCAATTAGAAGAAAAACAACAAAACTCCAGTCAAGGTAATCGAAATTATATAGATATTTTCCGAAGTCAGTACCTGTACTAAGCGACTGGCCGAAACTACTGCAGAAACAGATATATCAGACATGATCTAAAATTAATTGAACAGGAAAGGTATATCAAAGAACAAAACTCAGATTCTGCAGGCCCCATCTAAAACAATAAAAAATCTTTATTCTATAGTCTGTTGTATGAAGAATCCATACTATAGGATCCTTGATTCCAAAATTGTAATTAGTTGTATTTAATTCCTTAGGCAAACATTTTTTAGATATTTGGTTGGTCACATAGGAGGAACATGAAGTGGGCATCCGGTCAGATTTTTGAAGCCAGTCCCAAAATTCAGTCTGTCTGCCTATGGTGTGTAATACCACAAGGCTCCAAACATCTAAATGACCAGAAATTGAATCAAATCAACCTTCAACTCTGCAACTAATGTCATCTCGGGGAGTGAGTACCCCACTTCTAACTTATTTTTGCAAGAAATTTGTGACATAAAAGAGTTGCTAGATGAAAAGTGTTCTGATGATGATGATTTCATTCGATCAATGGAAGGAAAGATAAAAGGAAAGTTTGACAAGTATTGGGGGGAATGCAATTTGTTAATGGCAATTGCAGTTGTATTGGATTTGAGGATGAAAATGAGGTTGTTGCAATTTGCCTACCCACAATTCTTTCCTAATGAAGAAGCACAAGACAAAATTGATGAATGCGAGCTGCCTTGTATGAGATTTATTAAGAATATGCGGCGGAAAGTCAATCTTCCACCAGTGAACCACCTGTACAAATCAGTTAGGATTGGCGGGTGAATGTACAACGCCTTAAACATACTAGTTCACAATTCTGTGAGTTTGTTAGGACAACTCAAACGGTGCAACATGAGAAATCTAGAAGAGAGGTGTTTGTTATGAGACGAGGATGATACTTCGTTTGATGCGTTAGACTATGGAAGCTTAATCAAATGAACTATCATATTTTATCTACGATGGCTCGTGAAATACTTGTCATTTCAATCACCACGATCGCTTCAAAGGCAACTTTCAGTGTTGGGAGTTGAGTTAGTGACACTTATCGATCATCTTTCGTATAATATTTAATCCAAAGTACTGCTTAATGATTCTTTTGCTTCTCGTTTGGTATTTGATTCTTAATTGGTTTGGTAGATGGGATCTTTGATTGAATTTGTTTTCTATTTTTACCCTTTTGACTCTAGCAACAAAGAAAAAACTAGTCTAGTGTTCGAATGGAGTCCCTCTAACATTAGAGCATTAGAGTAAAATTGTTTTTAATAAATATTTTATTATTTCTTATTTTATATACATTTATTATTCCTCTTTTAAAATTTTCTATTTTATTTCTTAGTTTTTATAATATATAATTGTTGATTTTTTTGTGGTTTGAAGAGAATTCCCATTTGAAGTTTATTCAATTTTTTGTAACGCTCGAGGTGGAGCGAAGATCTCAAGCTA